CTGAAGTGTTCCAGCGAGTGTCTCTGTAGATCTTAGAAAACTATTTCTTGATTTAAGTCGTTGACGTGGTGGCTGATACCCAAACAGGGGATGAGCTGGAGATGTCACTGCTTTAGTCCTTTCACTATTGGTTGTTACTTCCCGGCGGATGTCAGGTGATGCAATACCGGCTAAACAGTGTAATTTCTCCAGTGGTGTAGGGCGCAGACACCCCGTGATAATGCAGCATGTTTCATTAAGAGCCACATCTACAGTTTTAGTGTGGTGAGAAGAAAGTAGGAGACAGAAGATATCGCAATGAAAGCAGAAAGTAGAATAAAAATAAAGGGCAATGACAAATTTTATAATACCACTATAGAGAAGAATGGAAGTACAAACTTGCTCCCTAATGCCATTACTCACCCCTTTATTCCCTACCCCTTCTTTACCATATTCCAACTCTTCAGACCCTCCCTCCCCCTCTACCACTTCTCAGTCCACCCCTTCCCCATCTTCCCACAACTTACCTTAAATGTTACCATCCCGATTTTATGTAACTTTGCCCATTTGAAAATTACAATAAAATTATTCCACCCCCCCCCCCAAAAAAAACCCCCAAAACATTTCCAATTAGTGCTTTGGATCAATAATGAGCATGGGCATGGGGATCATAAAATACATTCATATAGTTTCTGTCTTGTGATCCTAACATTAACTAGTCATGGGGGTTTCTTGGGAAGATTTGACTTACTCTGAGGCTGGGAGACTGTGACTTGCCCAAAATCACCCAGTGGATTTCCATGCCGAAGTGGGGTAATTGAACCCTGGTCTCCAGAGTTATAATCAAACATATAAACCACTATATTTGATGTGTTATGAAAAAGATACTAATCAACAACTTCAAAGCATCTGTTTAAATGCAAAATAGCAGAATATATATTTTAACTCAAATATGATCTTTATTTCATACTTATCCTGAATATGTCTGTACAGTGTTAAAAAAATTAATAAAATCTCAGTTACAATATTTTGAGTATTTTGAACTGCACTGCAGGGTGTCCTAAAAGTTGCCACACACAGGGAAAACGGTAAATTGTAGCAAAGATATCTGTTGTTATGCAAGTAATTGCATTTCATATGTGTTCCTTTAAATCAGGGGTTCTCAAACTAAGGCCCGGGGGCCGGATGCGGCCCCCAAGGTAATTTACCCGGCCCTGGCTGAGGGTCAGCCTAAGTCTGAAACTACTTAAAAGCACACAACAACAACAATCCTATCTCATCGGCCAAAAACAGGCCCACATTTCCCATTGAAATACTAATAAGTTTATATTTATTAACATTGTTCCTCATTTTAATTATTTTATTGTGTATAAGTGTTTTTTGCACTACAGATAAGATATGTGCATAGGAATTCATTCATGTTTTTTTTCAAATTATAATCCAGCCCTCCAACAGTTTGAGGGACTGTGACCTCGCCCTCTGTTTAAAAAGTTTGTGGACCCCTGCTTTAAATAATCCATGTTTTTAATCTTTTCCTTGTACATTGCAGTTTTTAAGTGGCCCCACAAATAAACTGAAAGATCATATAATATGAGTGTGTTACTTTTTCCTAGGTATGTAGACTTATGGGACACCCTATAGTTATTTTGCTAAATAGCTAATTCAGGGTTTTATATGGAAATACAATTTCAGTTGTCTGTACTACAGCTATGGAAGGATATTGTCATTAGTACAATTATAGAAGGATACTTTTTAAATAACCTGCATTCATAACTCTGAACACCCCGAACTAGCTGAAAGTACCAGCTAGTTTTTAATTTCTCATTCTATAATTGTCTTTTTTAGTATATAGTAAATAAGCTAACATTTAATTTTATTAATTTATTTATCTCATTCTAAATTTAAACATTCTCTTTTACTTTTGAAATCTTAATGCGCCTAGTATTCTGGAGTTACTTGGTATTGATTGAGTTCTTTCTCATGAAAAGTGTTTCCCACTTAATTCATTCTTCATTATAGATAGACTTTGTACATAAGAAAATGCTGTTCAGTTACATTTCCATATGAAATAAAGGGGATATCAAATACCCACATTAATTTGAGCTCTGAAAGAGCCTGTATACTTTGAATTAATTTGTAACACATTTGCAGAAGCATGGGAAACTGCTGATCTTTCAAGAATGATGTGACTACTGTGTTGCTATATCAAAGCTTCCTGTTGAGTACAATAATTACAGTATGTTTTCATGGCTGAAGCAGTTTTTGCTGTTTAGAATTTAATAAGGAATAGCTTATCCTTGTAGCCAATAGAGAGCTTTTGTATTAGCTTCTTTGTATGAAAATCCCGGTTTGAATAACTTTTTTACAGTTAAGCAGGACAATGGGTAGAAAATAAGAAATGCCCTTTAAAACAATTTTTTCAAAGCTTAGCATTTGACCTGAAAGAAGCAATTTCACGTGAAAAGTAGTAAGATCTTATACAAGATTTAACAAGCTCCAAAATACATCGGGGGCCTTTTCATTCTGCATAATGCCATTATACTTATAAATTCTCTAAAAATACCAAAAATTTAAACTTAATAAAACTTTATTTTTATTTTTAAGGTTAATTGATTGCTTATTGCACTTAGAATAGATAATATGTATATACTGTATATACAAGAAAAAGGTAAGGTAGCTAAATGGTAAAGCAAATAACACCACCCTAGCTAGTTAGATGTCCAGTAGCTGCATATAAAATTATATTAAAATTGTTGCAAAAATGTCAATTAATGTGCTTGTTATTTAACTTGAAGTGATAAAATGAACTCTGTACCTACATGCTCTCCTCAAAGCCTTTCCTGATCCTTCCCAAGGTGAATTGCCAATCCTGAAAGCCTCCTAAAATAGCAGTTCTCATTTTTAAGTAAGTTGTAGCCCTCTTTTGTGCAGATGAGTATTTTCCCCTAAAACCAGAAGTAGATTTTGAGTTTTCCCTCGTGGGTTTTTTTTTTTTTGCAATCTCCACGAGAATTCCATGGGTAGAAAAATAACCTCTAGACCAGCTGAAATTGCCCATCACATGTCTAAGGAAAAATATTATTTCTTCCCAAGTATGTAGCTTCTGCCTTATGATAGGACAAAATCTAATGTTGTATAAGCATTTTTTATTGGCATGACAGAAAGTACTTGTCCTCGTCATCTTTCGCTGCATCCTTCCCTGCCCTCAAAAATTTTACTAGAAGGACCAAGCCTCCTGGAAAAAGTCTGGAAAGCCCAGGAGTATTATACCAGAGGATGAATCCATTGTATTGTTCTATGAGCACATGTGTCACACTTCAGCATTACAGATTGTTATCCCAAGTAATTGTATTTAGACCATGCATGATGGTGACTAAATTAATCAAGAAATCCAAACCCATTAAAGTTTCACTCCTCATAATGATCTTTTATGTTGGAGATTTGGTGTTTGAACATAGATCTCATTAATGTCCTGCAATAACAATTGTTTTGGGAACATTTTCTTTGTAGATTCATCTTTATCCATTGATTCTTCAAAACATTCTGTCCAAGTGTGACTATATATGCTATGACTCACACAGTCACAGAAGTTATTAATGTGTTAAATGAGCCAGAAACAAATGGAAGCAAAAGATAAACAACATCTCCATACAGAGTGGTGGGGATTTCTGTTTTAAATGGACATGGACTTACTGATATCCAAGTCTTGAAAAGTATTGAATCCCATTTGCCTGCAATAAATACTTCAAAATGGAATTGTCAAAATCTATAATTATTTCTATCAGTGAGACCCCATTGCATCTGAGGGCTTAACATGTGCTTATCTCTAGGTGCCAATCAGACTTTTATCAGATGCATCCCAACTCTTCAGCACTGCCAAACTTTGTTTAAATATATGTAATTTGTTTGCTAATGTGATACAGGTTTTGGCATTTGTCTAAGAGGAAAATTTCTTGCATGAGTCAGTCTTTCAATTTGTGAATAAATCTTAAACTATTTTATGTATTATAAAATATACAATAATTATGAAACAATAAAATGTTAAGTATTGTGTCACTAATACCATTTGCTTATAGGGCTGGCTTTGTGAAAAAAACATTGGAAGTATTACTAAGAAAGTTATCACACAAATCGCAGCAAATACATCACAGATTATACACCTGCACTGTTGCACTGAAAGTATAAGGTGTTATTTATTAATATGAACTAAGATGGGAAGATTTTGTAAGTATGGGGGTGCTTTGTTGTGGCTTCTGCTATTAATTAAATATATACGAAATAATAAGTAATGATTATAATAATAAAACTTTCTAGACTGCCCTCTCTCCCCGAAGGGACTGAAGGCGGTTTACACCAAAAAAAGGCAAGCATTCAATACCTCAGCTGAGTACAAACATATCAAAATAATACACAATAAAGCACAGTAATAACAGTGAGCTGAATGAAGCATTGTGATGAAAAATAAAACAAAACAATCCCATAAGACATAGTTAACTAAAACACAAGTAAACATTACAATAAATACCCTAAAAGCAATTTAAAATGCACTTACATTAAAAATGGCTGGTGCCAGTGTTCATTTAAAATGTATCATAGCAACCATATAGTGCAACTCCTTATGCAGTGCCACATTGGTAGCTATTGGGATTGTACTAGTACCTTGATCTGAAGTAAAGAGATGATTGAGCTATTTCAGGCAACTCTACAGGGGGAGTGTGACTCTCTTAGTTGTTTTCAGTGCCATTGCTCATGGAATCCTTTTAGATTGCCTTGTTGGGATGGGACTTAGGGACACAGTTGACAGTGGTTTTATTCCACCATGGAAGGGTAAGCACAGGAGGTGATGCTGGGAATTCCTGTTTAATTTTATTTCTTTATTTGAAACATATGTTTCATTTTAGCAATCTAATGAAGTGGATGGCAGTACACAAAAACAGGCAGCACAACATATTAGTTAGTTTTTAAGGTGACATGAGACTTCACTTGAAAAATTAAAGAAATCATTTCTTTTGGTTTTGCAGTTGCTGTGATTGGCTTATAAACATTTGCCGGCGAAAGAAAGAACTGAAAGCACGCACAGTTTGGCTTGGATGTCCTGAAAAATGTGAAGAAAAATACCCAAGAAATGCGATAAAAAATCAAAAATATAATATCTTTACATTTATACCTGGGGTAAGGCTACTAAGGATTATTTAATGCGGTCTTTTGTAACTCTTCTGTTTTATACCATGTATTTTTGAAAAAATTGCCTTGTAGTGGAAGCAAGGATTGGTGATAAAGCTTCAGTGGAGACTCCCTTTTCCCATGATCACTCAGGAGAGAATTTCCCTTCCAAAGGATAGGTTTCTCTTACTTCCTGTTGTCTCACTGCTGTTCTTAACTATGAGTCATTTGTAAGTCAGATGTTTGTAACTCAGGGACTGCCTGTAATCTGTTACAATACATTCTTCATGAAAAGATGCAACATTGCTTTTCTAGTTCCCTAATTACTAATTTCAGTAAATTCTATTATGACTTCAGCATTTAGTCTTTGGGTAGCAAGCCCTATTTGTTTCTAATTTAATATTTGACTAAAATGTAACCACTGAGAGAGAATTATTTCAAAGTGTATGAAATAGGCCATTATATACTGTGCCTTTTATCACAGTAATCAATTGTCTTGTTGGGATGCTGTCTTTTTCAAATCTTAATTTCACTAAAAATGCAAATTTTGTAATTATTATGCATTAGTTTTCTTCCACTCCATGCTACTCTTACTCACCAATTCAGTTCAACTTGCTGGCACATGCATGGATATTTTGGTAGCCTTCCCCCTTATTAAAAAGACAAAAAAGTGAATTAATAATCTGTAGAGTATTTGCTTTTGAGAGTGTTAATGTCAACTATTTTCATGCAGACAAATAATTTCATCTCCATTGCACAAAACCTACACTTTCTCTGTTTACCCTGAGCTTTTTTCTAAAGGTCATTAAGTATACATTTAGTCATTGATTACTATAGTTAATGCATAATGTGTATTTCAGAGGTTTAGGCAGAATCTGATGCCTACAAAGATCAGTCATGATTTGTGAACACCTGTTGGCATAGCATAGTCCAGATGCATTATTAGTGTTGGGATATATTTTTTTCTTAAACTTTCCCTTAGGAAATGGAGTAGTTTGAAAGCGTTTTGTAATTGCACAGTGGGAATCCTATTCTGGCTTTAGTATGAATACCAATTACAGAGCTATTAATTGATGCTAACTGAGATTTTAAATTAATTAGTGGTGAGGGAGGAAATATTGTTACCCTGCTGAGATTAATTTATATGAGAATTTAAACATTCTAGAAGAAAATAATCATGTTTCATTGTAAATATAAACACAGTGTTACTCCAGCATAGCTCTTACCATTTTAGATATGCTTGTAAATCAGTAGCAACTGCTGAACCAATTTGAATTTCCTTGTATTGAAATTCCCATAATATGTTGGTTTGTCTGGAGCTTACATTTGATTGTACTCTGTTTGTGTTGCACCCACCTGCAGACATTTAGTAACACTCTTTATTTTGATAATAGAAATGGAAATGTATTTAAAATAAAATCAATTACAGTATTAACATTTCCACACACTCCCCTCAGGAGAGTAGCTAGGAATAATGGTAGAATAAAGTGGCATGCATATTATGCTGATTTTATAGTACAATAAATCCAGAGGAATTATTTTGCATCACTTTGATTATATGCACATTGTTCGCTCTTATAACTGAAATCACTCTGAAAGAAATGAAAGATACACTTTACTTTCCTTCTGTAGTTAATGGATATACATTATTAGATTATATGGGGGTACACTGAAACTAAAGGCCTACCTAGTCTGCCATTGTGTTCACACTATGGCCAAAGAGTTACCTGCTGTGAACCGTAGAAGCAGGACACAGTTGCGTTAGCCTCTACCCATTAATGTTGCATAGAAAGTAGCAAACAGAGGCATAGTGCCTCTGATACTGGAGGTAATATATAGCCATCATAAGTGATAGCTATTGATAACTTAAACCTATTCATATATCTAATCCCCTTTTTAAATTGTCCAAGTTGGTGGTCACTATATTAATTATACACTGTGCTTTCTTATCCCCAGCTTTGTCTTTGTCATACAGAGTTAATATAAGCTTCTTGTACTAAAATAATACATGTTCTGTAATTTAAATTCTCTGAACTAAGTAAAGAGAGCCAACACTGAATAGTGATTTGAATGTTCAACCATGGCCCCTTTCACACAGCTGAATAAAATCGCACATTTTCTGCTTTGAACTGGAATATATGACAGTGTGGACTCAGATAACCCAGTTCAAAGCAGATATTGTGGGATTTTCTGCCTTGATATGCTGGGTTATATGACTGTGTGGAAGGACCCTATGATTCTGGAGACCCAGAATCATAGGTCTGATTCCCTATTCAGTCATGGAAACCTACTGGATGAGTTTAAGCAAGCCATACTCTCCCATTGAGAAAGGTAGAGGCAAGCCCACTCCGCAAATCTTACCAAGAAAACCCCACAATTCTGGTTAGGAATGCCATAAGTCAGTAAGAAGTTGAAGGCATAGAACAACAAGTTTCTGTGCTCTTAGATTGTGGATGGATTCTAAAGCAAATATGCACTATTACTTTGTTAGAATACATTGTTCAATTCATGTGGAAAAAAATACTCCTCATCAAATCTGGATCGCTAAGAAATAACTCTTACGTTAAACATTGGCTAAAATGTTTGTATATTCTGGATGCATTTTGAAAGTATTTTCTGATTCCCCCTCCCCCATTTTTCTTTCACTTTTAGGTTTTGTATGAACAATTCAAGTTTTTCTTGAATCTTTATTTTCTCGTTGTCTCCTGCTCACAGTTTGTACCGGCTCTGAAAATAGGCTACCTCTACACCTACTGGGCTCCTCTGGTAAATTTGCTATAAAACTGCTTTCTTTTCTTTTGAAATTATGCAAACTAGAAGGCATTTAAATATTAAATGGAATACTCATTTGAATGCTCTTTCCCTTTCTTTTTATAGATAGTGATATGTCTACACTGAGCTGAATGCCAGTCGCATTACTCTGTGTAACATGATTTTTGTTCCTGGTTTATAAATGTCATTTCCTAGTTGGTTTTATCAAACATGGAAAGAGTGTATTAAACTGCAAAAACTTTATTTTTGTGAGACATCCTGCAGCACATTTTGCTATAGTTTTTAATGAATATCTCATAGAGTCTCAACCAAGTCAACATGATTAGTGGCAGCCACAAAAATGAAGTTTCTGGAGTATAACAACTACTTTCAAAGTAAGTGCCACACAATTAAACCAGAAATAATACTTTCAAACCAGGACAGATTTTTTTTCAAATTTTGTTTATGATGTTTATGTTAGTTGCTATTGTTTTGTGTTATTGTCTTTGAACTTTTTGTATTTTGTGTGTTTGCACCTTTGAATGCTTTGTGAGCCGCCCCGTGTCACTCGGGCATATGGTGGCAGGGTATAAATAATAATAATAATAATAATAATAATAATAATAATAATAAACTTTATTTATATACCGCTCTATCTCCCCGAGGGGGACTCAGGGCGGTTTCCATTTTATTATTTATTATTATTATCAACTTTCAAAATTTGAAGGTTTTGTTGTCCCACATTTTCACCTGAACCATCATATTGCCATAGAAAGGATCATTGCAATGGAAGAATATTGGGAAAGACCTTGCTTGCAGAACTACAGAACCTAGTATTTCTCCCTTCCTAATGCCGCCTATTTGATTCTGTAATGCTGCCCCCCCCACCCAGCGCCTGTTTTTCCGATAGTTTGGAAGGGTGGGGTGGGAAGAGATAAAACATGCTGTGTTATTCTGGCATCTGACTTGCAACACAAAACTGGATTCAGACCATTTTACATATTCTTACCATGGGATTCTCTGAAATAGTTTTATTGTATCTTTTGGAAGAAGTGTTGATCAGAATTATTAGCGAATACCTCAATTTTTGATCAGCTGTTCTTCAATAACCAAGACATTAGGGAAGGGGAAGAAAAACACTCTCTCAGTTCTTCCAAAATTGATTGCAAGCAGATATTTTTTTCATCTATTGTTAAGTCCTCTGTGTATTTTAATAGAAATATTTTTCCATTTTGGGAAATGTCTGTTATATTTTAAACAGGGATTTGTTTTGGCTGTCACAGTGCTGCGAGAGGCAGTTGATGAATTTCGGCGTTACCAGCGAGACAAGGAAATGAACTCCCAATTATATAGCAAGCTTACGATACGAGGTTGGCATATATATGTGTAAATCCTGTACAGCATTCATACTTTCTAGTCCTTGCTAATTTCAAACTATCCAAAAAATCTGCACAACTTGTAATCCAGAAAGCAAAATCATGCCCCACTTCTTGTATATTATTGATTGCTCAGTGCCTGATAAACTCTTGTATTAGTAATTCTACTAAAAAAACAAAACAAAATAATATAGATTATCACATCTCTGAAAAGTTACAATGCATGTTTGATTGCATTCAACAAGAGGTTATCAGAAGTTGCATATGCCTGATAGATGTCAGTAAGAGAAAGAACATGCAGCATTTATTTATTTATTTATTTCCTGCATTTGTAACACACCCTTCTCACCCCTGAGGGGGGACTCAGGGAGTGAGAAATATGTGGATGGGTTTGGGGGGACAAAGCTATGGATTTGCTATGACCCATGGATAAGTTGTTGGTCATTCCACGAAGAGGGAAGTGCCAGCAACGCCTCTGAGGGCCAGCTTCCCTAGCAGCTGCAATTTTTCTGCACAGGTATTCAAAAAGACCTTTTGCTATCCTGTTCAAAAAAAGGGTCACCCCTTTTTTGATGAAAGTTTAGAGAAAATGAAGTGTAGTTTAAAACGAAAGTGATTTACTCATTAAAAATCTGGCAAAATCGATGGAAAAGATAAAAAGAAATGGTTTGATTCTTAAAACATAATGGTCTCATAGTATGATATACAGATCTGATTTGGCTATGCAATAACATATTATGTAGTTGGACCGAATGGTATGCTTCTGCTGGCCAGAACTAATTCTGACAGTAAACCAATAGTTTTGCACTCCCTCTTCATTTTCATTTTCAAGAAATCTGCAGACAAACTTAAAGCAGACTTTCGGTAGTGTGGAGGGCTGTGTGGCAAGAGCAGAACAGAGAAATTTGAATTTTTTAATAGTGATGAATGTTACATCAAATGTATACTATTAATTGAAAGTATATATTTTTAAAAATGTTTGTTTTAATACTTGTTTCACCACTTATTTTCTGTGTGATGTAAAACCAGTATAAATCTTTTTTCCCTTTTAGCAGTGCATTATTTTTTGCTGCACTAATATGCAAATATTGTAATTCAGCAATAAGAGCAAATCTTATTACTGATGGGATAGACTATGCTGAAATTAAAGTCTTTAGGACCACTGGATGTCATAGTTAGCTGCAGACTCAGGCTTCTTCTACACTGCCATATAAAATCCAGTTTATCTGCTTTGAATTGGATTATATGGTAATGAAGACTGGTATAATCCAGTTCAAAGAAGATAATCTGGATTTTATATGGCAGTATGGAAAGGGTCTCATTTAGGTGTGCTCTTTTTCCATTATATTGGCAATTTCCAGTCCTGACCAGTCTCCATGTTCCTACTTTCTAAATTAGTAGCGCATATCTAAAAGTGTCTCCTGGAAGAGACACTTTATACATGATAGCCATGTATAAATATGTGAGAGGAAGCCACAGAGAGGAGGGAGCAAGCTTGTTTTCTGCTTCCTTGGAGACTAGGACGCGGAACAATGGCTTCAAACTACAAGAAAGGAGATTCCATTTGAACATGAGGAAGAACTTCCTGACTGTGAGAGCCGTTCAGCAGTGGAACTCTCTGCCCGGAGTGTGGTGGAGGCTCCTTCTTTGGAAGCTTTTAAACAGAGGCTGGATGGCCATCTGTCAGGGGTGATTTGAATGCAACATTCCTGCTTCTTGTCAGGGGGTTGGACTGGATGGCCCATGAGGTCTCTTCCAACTCTTTGATTCTATGATTCTATGAATTCCACCAGTATTCAAATTTGAGCGTATCGGGTATTTTTCTGAATGTCCTTGTGACTCCTAAAATATCTCTTTGATATCCCTTGGAAATAAATGGCGGAGACTGTAAATTAGAACAAGAGATGTGTTCCCATTACCAAAGTAACTCGCACTTCCACACTCGCATCCAGTAGGGCAGCATATCAATGAAAATAACCATGTTAACATTGGCATTGCATTATTTTCATTACTTCTAGTTTTTGTTCCAACTACTTGTATGTAATTGTGCATGGCAAATATTACTTTGGATAGGATATTGCTTTGTAGCTTTGGCAAGCCATGAATTGTTATTTTAGCATAACAAGGAAGGACATATCAGCCTTGTGCTCTAGCAATGTCTATATATTTGCTGTTCCTAAAGAAACAGATTGAGAGAATAATTAGAGCAAACAAGTAAAAAAAGCTTTGGAGATTGTTGTTGTTGTTGTTGCTACTATTATTAACTTTTTATATCCCATCTTTTTCACCATGAGGACTCAAGGTGACCAACAGCCACACAATCTAATGACCATTTAAAACAAAGCAAGTATAAAAATTTAAAAACAATTAAATATTGGTGTGTGAATATACAGTTAAAATACAATTAAAATACAATAAATACAATTAAAATTGCATTTAAAACTCACCTTCACCCCCAATCCCACCACAACCTCAGAAACAGTGTGGCTCTCATCTTCCCAAAAAAGCCTACTGGTACAGCAATGTTTTATCTGCTTTGATGGTGCCATCCTAGTTTCTCTTGGGAGAGAGGTCCACAGTCTGGGAGCAGCTACCAAAACGCCCTATTCCCTGTTCCCACCAAACACAAGTTGAGTGAGATATTGCATTTGACAACACAAGAGAATCTTAACACGTGACTATGTCAGTGAAGCATTCTAAGATCATGTTTTTGTTAAGAAGCAAAGTTGAGTAATTCTGTACATAACACCACCCTTGGAGAAAGAGAGAGAGAGAGAGCTCTTCTCTATTCCTGCCCCAATCACTTCCTGAGTTATCTCACACAGAAGTCTTCTCTCCCCCCACTCACAGAACTTCTGAACTTAATCTTTGTCAGAAGTTGTACTTCTGAACTAAGCATCTTCCTTGCTGTGAAAATGGATAATTAGTCTTTCCCAGTTCCTAGCTCATGTTATTTGAATGGCAGAAGTAATTGTAGTAACAGACTAGCTTTTATAGCATTAGAAAACTCAAGGGAAAAAAGCAAAAGTGAAAAACATTTATCCCCAGTTCCTTCCAACATAAAAATATTCTTTATGATTCTTGTAACATATCACAGAATGAGGCTGTGATCATCCTGTGTTTGTTTCTGCTAATGAAGCATACAAGGTACCTGGCCCTAGGACAGTTCTTTACCTGAAACAGAGGAGTAGGAATCTGATTTTAAACATTCTCTGAAATGAAATGTCAGAGTCCCTTACATCTTGTAAGCAGGATTAGCTTATTATGATTTGAGATCTTGATGACTTTTTTTAGTTATGGCATAGCCCAGTGCTGTAGTCACAAAATTTAACAGACATTAACATTCCATAGGTTTTGTGCCTTAGTGCAACTTATTTTTTCTTTATGTCAGTTCAGATCCTCAGTAAACAGAAACTCTATACTTTCTATGTTCTTTTCTTCTGTGTTTTCTATTGCTCAGTTATAACTCCTAAAATGGTATAACTTTTTTACATTAGCTACCTTAAGCACTTGGGTGATAACTGGGAAGACAGGCTACAAATCTTAAAAAATAAAATTACAGTGAAAATTATACAAGCTTAGTATTTATTTGAATTATTTCTATTCAATCTTCTAGATGATACAGGGTCTTAAGGGGAAGAAACAAAAAGTGCATAAACTTTTTTGGTACATTGTTCTCATGCTTTTGCTTACCTTCGTTATGGAGACCTCATGTTTTAATGCATGGCTTCTGTTTATTTTAAAGTCATTGCAATCTTCTTGAGCCATTCAAGTGTAATGAATTATGATAGATACTTAATTGTGTTCTAGTTCCACACACAGCTTTAGGCAAAGGCTCATGCCTTGGTGGACTATAAAGCTTGGATATGCAGCCACTTCTGACAGCTTTGGACTTTTTTATTGGCAATAACACAGATGGTGAAGAGTGTTTTTAAGCTAGTAAGATGTGTTTAGGAGAAAAAAATGGTTTACAAAAATAATTTATGCAGTGAGTAGCATTTGATGTTTTTCTCAAATTTTCTTTGCAAAGTTGTAACATTACATTCTTTGTGTGCTTCCGAAAAGTTCTCTTGTTATTACTGGTTGCAACAAAAGCCAAAAGACTAAGTTATAGTTTTGCTGTTGTATAGTTTATTTTACCAAACCTCACTTGCAAGTGAATGGATGTAGGCCAAATTTAGTCATAAGAAGCTGGTAATATATGAAAGTACTTTCAGACCAAGGGACCACTTGACACTACTATGGAGACTGAACTGTAGGACAATTTGGAGCAAACAGCACCCTGTGCCTCTTCCTTCTCCCACACTGGACTGTTTCCCAGGAGAGAAAAGGACCCTTTGCTCTATTAGTTGCTGCCAACACTAATCCTATAAGTGAATTTGGAATCCCCCCCCCCCCCCAAATATGCATCACTTTACACCAGCTTGCACTGAATCTCATTTGCCATTTATTGCCTTTTTTCTCACTTTGGAGAAATACTTGTGGTATCATTGATTTTTATTCTCACTTTTCTAATTAATTTAGTGTTATCATTAAATTTAGCCCTCTCACTACTGAATCCTAAATATAGTCATTTATATATCATATTTGCAGTGTTGTCTTTAGAACATAAGAAACAGATATGGACTAAATTTTGTGCTTATACCACAGTAACACATTCCATCTGATCTTGGCTGCTATGCACGGTCAGTCTTGGTAATTTTTTGGATGGGAGACTGCCAATGAATACCAGGTGATGTAAGCAATATTGCAGAAGAAAGAAGTGACAAAACCACCTGAGTAATTATTTACCTAAGAAAACTATGTATGAGTTGCAGTAAGTTCACAGGAATCATATACGTGTGTGCTCAGATGTACACACATGCACACACACATTTAGTGTTAGTTTTATTCATTTCAAGAGTGTAAGTCTCTTGAAATGAATAAAACTTCTTAAACATAAGATAATAAGCATTAGTTAATTGATTTCACTGTTCTAGTCTAAGTAGAACTAAAACTGATTTAGCCTACATGCTGTGTAATTAAGAATAGGTTGCTGAGACTTAAATGGCATAAAAGGTCTGTTATAAAGAAAAGTCTCTGGTAATGACAGTTCATGTGCTATTGAAGGCAATTAGAATCTATGGGCCGGCAGGCTTCATCCTCCAAGTTTGGAGTTCAGAGGAGTTTGAACAGCCCTAAATCCAAAGAAGACCCATCATGCTCATAATGAGTGATAAACTGCAATAATCTTGCATTAAACTATACTTCAGAAAATGAAAATACTGGTGGCTGGGTTCAGGGTGCACATGCTAACTCCATAATACTTTCATTTTGAAGAAAAATATTTAGTGAATCCCAAGGACTACTATAAGTTCCAAAACAATGAACACTGGAAACACCCAAAGCATTCAGAATTTTATTTGAGGTAAACATATAGCCAAAAAACCAGGGAGAACATCCAAAATCCAACATATATGTGAGATGAGGGTACTAGGGAGGATATATTCTAGGTGTGAAATTGTATACTGTCTTGGGATAAAGTAAGGAAAGTGAATGAGATGTTTTAACTGAAAAGTGGATTAACAAATTGTAGAACATGAATCAGAGAGTGAATGTGTTCTCTGCTCTTGCCTGAACAAGCAATAGTTAAATTTACAAGTATATGGAATCAAAATTGCATATGGAGATCTTGGGTGAATACATAATCAGTTCAGAATTGTAATGTAGGTTTGCTAGTGGCTTATTCAGTTTTCTTGGAAAAGTCACTTGATTTGTTTCTTGCCAAGTTGTTATAATTACGGCTAATCTTTAACACTGAATTCTTAAACTTTCAGAATCTATAGTTATTTACTTGTATAAAAATACATTTTGATAACTTGTTTCCATAATAAGTATTTTCCAAGACTCTGTGGGGCAAAGCAGTGTTAGGCCTTTGATAATTTCTTGGTGATTGCTTATGCTGATTAATTTCCTTCTTCTTTCTCCAAAGGTAAAGTGCAAGTTAAAAGCTCAGACATTCAAGTTGGAGACCTCATCATAGTGGAAAAGGTTTGTTATTTTTACAATATATTTTAAATATTAACAGTTTAAATGTTTTTAATTGTATCCTTTGTCCTGAATATTGTCTGCCTATTGCGCTTTAAATCAGTCCTGTGACAGAAAATCTGCTGGCAAATACTTTAAGAAGTATTTGTAATATTACTATGCAATTTTAGGAATTTGCTCATTATTGTATTTCAGGAAGAATTTTCACACCAGAACATTTAGTGTGTACCATTCTGCATTTCCTTCATTGTGGGGTGAAATGCCAAATGTAGGTGCTTTATTTATTTGGTATTTAAAAGTTGCGGCATTATCACTGTTTTATAAAAAAGATATTGCCAGCAGATTTTTATCTTCTCTTTTACCTTATCGTATGGTCTTCTAAATGCTGATGAATTGTAACTTCCAGCATTCCTTCACTTTGGCTATTCCATCTATGTCAGTGGTTCTCACCTTTTCTAATGCTGTGACCCCTTAATACAGTTCCTCATGTTGTGGTGATCCCTAGCCATAAAATTTGTTGCTACTTCATAACTACAATTTTGCTACTGTTGTGAATTGTAATGTAAATATTAGATATGCAGGATGTATTTTCATTAGCTGGACCAAATTTGGCACAAATAGCTGATACACCCAAATTTGAATACTGGTGAGGTTGGGGGGTCATAGAATCATAGAATCAAAGAGTTGGAAGAGACCTCATGGGCCATCCAGTCCAACCCCCTGCCAAGAAGCAGGAATGTTGCATTCAAATCACCCCTGACAGATGGCCATCCAGCCTCTGTTTAAAAGCTTCCAAAGGAAGAGCCTCCACCACACTCCGGGGCAGAGAGTTCCACTGCTGAACGGCTCTCACAGTCAGGAAGTTCTTCCTCATGTTCAGATGGAATCTCCTATCTTGTAGTTTGAAGCCATTGTTCCGCATCCTAGTCTCCAAGGAAGCAGAAAACAAGCTTGCTCCCTCCTCCCTGTGGCTTCCTCTCACATATTTATACATGGCTATCATATCTCCTCTCAGCCTTCTCTTCTTCAGGCTAAACATGCCCAGCTCCTTAAGCTCCTCCTCATAGGGCTTGTTCTCCAGACCCTTGATCATTTGAAAGGGGGGGGGGTTGATTTTGTCATTTCGGAGTTTTAATTACTGGGATTGATAGTTAATCAACAATCAAAGAGCATTCTGAACTCCACCAATGATGGAATTGAACCAAACGGTGCACAGAACTCCCATGACCAATAGAAAATACTGGAAGGGTTTCGTAGGCATTGACCTTGAGTTTTGGAGATGTAGTTCACCTACAACCAGAGAGCACTGTGGACTCAAACAATGATGAATCTGGACCAAACTTGGCATAAATACTCAGTATGCCCAAATGTGAACACTGCTGGAGTGGAAAATAGACCTTGACATTTGGGAGTTGTAGTTGCTGGGTTTTATAGTTCACCTACAATCAAAGAGCATTTCGTACACCTCCAACAATAGAATTGGGCCAACTTCCCACACAGAACTCCCATGACCAACAGAAAATACTGGATTTTCTTAAGGTCTTTGGCGACCCCTCTGACACCCTCTCACGACCCCCTCGGGGGTCCCGACCCCAGGTTGAGAAATGCTGATCTAGCTTGATGGGAGTGGAGTCCACTAGTGTCTGAAAGGCTTCAAGTTGCTCTTCCCTTTTTAAAACAGTTTTTAAAGCATATGTTACAGTGTAGTACATTCATTACTTTTGCCTCAAGCCATGGGAGTATGGGAGGAGTTGGAGAAGTCAGACACAAATACTGAATTGAAAGTTCCTCCTGGAATGCATTACTCGAATAGAACATGTGTCTTGTCATTCCTTTTTAATTTAATTCTGGAAATTGGATATTTCAGAAATATTTCAAATAAGCATTGCTAAGTTTTCAATTAAATGTCTCATCAGCTGGTAGGAATAGAAGAATATAATGGCTAAAACGAGTAGGATAGTTAACATGAGTAAACTATCTACAACTATCAGAGGAGTCTGACTAATACGCTTCTCGGAAGATCTTGCATGTTCCCACAGTCATATTGATTTGATATCAGATATTTGAGGATTTCTAAGTTTGCTTGTGTGTGCTTAAAGTTTTCCTTGCCTCTCCTGAGGTTAATTTCTAATTTGTTTTTCTGATACACTTCGTTTAATGCAATCCTTGATTGAAGGTGGCTCTTCTTCATTTTGTACAATTGCACATACTGTTCAACATACTCTTAATTTTATAGTATAAAACCTCTGATTATCCTCTAGGTGTCTTAAATAAGCATACTTAATTTGACATGAGCACTATTGTGGCTTCTGTGTTGCATGTTGATTAGCTTATCATGATACATATAATACACATGTGAATCAGCCAAAAAATTATATTGCTTTGTGAAATTTCAAATGAACATTCCAATGAAATCAGTTCATGTATTTGGTCTATAACAGGAATGGTCCTCCAGATATTAATTAATTGCATTTTTTTTCATAGAGGAAGCCACCTCTTATCTAATGAATTAGAGCAGATATGGGCAAACCCAGGCCCGTGGGCTGGACTTGGCCCTTTGGGCTCTTTGCTATAGCTCTTGTCTCCTTTGGCCTCCCTTTCAGAATGTGGGCGCAGTGGCCTGCCACGCTCGCAGGCTGAGAGGACGGCTGAGGCAGAGACATGCTTCTGGCAAGCACTGGAGAGCACTCAGCAGTGGCGTGTTTGCCTCCCTCCTCTGGGCCTGGGGGAACGTAGGCCGCTGCCTTCCCGGGGCCCAGAGAAGAGCCAGGGAGAGAAACATGCCATTGCCAAATGTTCTTGACAGCGGCATGTTTCTCTCCTTTCTCTGCCCCCCTCCCCCCACTGCCTTCCTGGGGCCCAGAGAAGAGCCCAGAAGAGAAACATGCCACCGCTGCTTTGCAGCTGTGTGTTTTCTCCCCCTCTTCTGGGCCGCTGCCTTCCCAGCCCTTGCAGCCGGGCCCATAAGGCAGCCCAGGTCAAAAAAGTTTACCCATGCCTGGGTTAGAGACTGGAGTGCTGTTAGGTTGCAAATGGAATCTTTGGCCACTGAAAAATGTAAATAAAAACTGCATATCACTTTTGAATGCATGGTAAAGAACTTGCACACATTCAGAAATTATCCTTCAGGAAAAAATGAGGTCAAATGTCCATTATTGGCTTTTTGTACAAGAAAAGTGTCTTCATATGGGGAAAGGATGTATTATTTTTTTTCTTGTATTGAACATGATAAATTGCGAAAATAAAAACATCAGGCAGAGAATATAAAGCCCTTAGACTAGGTATTTTAAATGTCTTTGTAGCTAATGTTTAGTGGCAGTAGTAGTAATAGTATATTTTTATATTAGGAAAATGTATCTCATTCTCTACTGTTTTTGGCTTTGTATTTTGTCCTGTGGTCTGTATTCTTGCTTTTTATGTCAGTTTGTAGGTTTTGTGTTAGCCTTTCTGAATAAAAAATGTATGTTTGTGTGTATATGAGAGAGAATATGATTCAAGGAATTTATTCTTTCTGTAAACAAGCCTTGATACCATGTATGTGTATACAAACAGTACTAAGTAAGCAAAAAGAATGGATGAGAGCACAGAGTCTGTCTAATTAATGGAACTTGTTGGTAATTTGCAGACAATGAAAGACTGAATTGTCAGAAAAGTCTGAAAATGTAGTGGAAGCTGGCCATAGCTGATGAGAGTTACCTTTGAAGGGTAACATGATTTTTAAATCAAGTAACTTACGTTCATGTTTAAATCAGTCTGCACAATCCCCCCCCCCCCAAAAAAGGGCAACAGATTTCTTGGATTTTAGCCGTAGCATCCCTCTGTTAAGGTTTTTATTCAATTTTAAGATGCACTGCAAATGAATGTAAAAGAATGAGATGCACTTATAGCACAATCTAAAAGATTTATCACTGTGTGTACATGATTGCATCTTGCATTTTTGTTTGGGGAAATCTTTCCGAGTATCTCAAAAGCATACTAGAAAAAAGCCCTGATCCTTTGAAATAAGTTATAACTCTTGTGAACTAAAATAAGTTGGTAATTAGTGTAGTGTGCTATCATATAAGAGTGAAGGAAGTTAAAAATAGCTTATTTTGCCAATGGCTTGTAATAGATCATGGATGACAGTACTTGACAGTCTCTATTCTTGAAGGAATTTATTGGCTTTTATGTTTTTAACAATCACTGCATTTTTTTTTTGTTTTGCATGGGTGTGTGATACAGATTTATTTTAATAATGAGAGGTGCCAAACAATCTTTAGTTTAGTTTAGTTTAGTTATCAGAATTGGAATGGGATGCAGGTATAAACAGAAGTGGAAATTACTATTTTAAGTCATTTTCAAATCTAGTCTTCAGTACCCCTTGCTTAAGGGTAACTACTTTTAGGTTAAATGCTTTGAATAATATCACCATGCAATAACAAATATTGTATACATTGAAATTATTTGTCTCATACTATAATTGCACAGAGATAAAATACATAACTGGTTGCCATCCTCCAACTCATAAGTAAGTGTCTTTAGGATTGTAACTTTTTAAATATGAAATTTATTGTTATTTTGAAAATCTACTTATTTCAATACTGCTTTCTGATCTTTCTAACTGATAAATTAGTAATGTATCAAAATATGTCACAGAAATATGTTATCCCAGTCAGGAGTGAAATGTTCATTTGCTCACCCAATATATCAGTAAACAAAACACATTAGATGTTTTATGTGACTAAAAGATTAATCAACATTTTTTTAACATTCATTAGTCTGTAGATCACTGAAAGTTGAAGAATTTGGAGATAAGTTGTGCTCACATACAGGCACAATTGGTATTAATAATAATAATAATAATAATAATAATAATATACTTTATTCCACTCTATCTCCCCAAGGGGACTCTGGGATGATTACAAAACCCATTCAGTGCTGTTATACAATTAGCAAGGACAAACAATACATAAACAGAGGTAGAGACTTTCCCATCTTTTTTCATTTCCGGCATCTGGAGGCTGTGCTTGACTCCAGCCATGGGGAGGTGCTGTAGCACCATTTTCCATTATGAGAAGCTTTGTTGTCCGTAGATGTCCTCCCGATTGAGTTGCCAGCCTGTCCTTATGGGTGTTTTTTTTTTTACCTTCCCGCTTAATGCAGTACTTATTTATCTACTCACATTGCTGTTTTCGATCTGCTAGGTGAGCAGAAGCCGGGCTTGAACTGCCAGCTTTTCAGACGGCAAGATTTTCTGCAGCTTAGTGGTTTAACCCACTGTGCTAAGCCCAGCCTCTGATGCTGATTGGGAGAATCAGGCTGACTTGGAAATCTTTATAGGCCTTCCAAGTAAAAAGGAGTCAGTTGCTGCCTGAGTAGCTATAGATGACACCTCATATCAAACTCCTTTTGACAGTTGCCCTGCCCCCTGAAGTCCCGCCTTAACAGGAAGTCCCATCCCTCTCCCAGAAGTCCCACCTGAACAGGAAGTCTATCCCCAAAGGCCCTCCCTGGCTGAAAACTCCTCCCTCCAGTCAGAAGTCCCACCTTAATCCCTCCCAAAGTATTTTCATCAGCATCTACGACTTCCTTTCCATCCTCCAATAGGTCATCTAGCAGTGACTGGTATGTAGAGCCACCTGGGTCTGGTTCTTCAGCCATTCTCTCAACATCCTTATAGCCTGGTTTACAAGATAGGCTTCCATCCCCATCTTCAGCAGCAGGGTGCTGCATTCTTGGCATTTCGGGGGAAAGCTTTTTCAAATCACTATGGTCTGCTCTGTGATCATCAGAATCAGGCTCTATCTTGATGAATTTGTTTTTCATGGCATAAAGACCCAGTAGTAATCCAATTCTTCTTGGAGATCTTTTTAGGTCCTTTTAGGACTTTTAAGGACTCAAGAGCACTAAAGGTATGGAAAATCCCACCGGTCCTGACATGTTTGGGGGATAGAACCACATTTGATAGCCGTTTTCAGGCCTTCCATTCATAGTAGATTTTTTTCTAGGTACACAGGGTACTGAAAGGCTCCTTGAGATTGAAGGACCAGCTGGTGATTCCATGCTTTGCTTCTCTGAAACCAGTTCAGGGCTGCCAGGTATTCACTTGGTATATTCCTGCCCTATTGGGACCCCAGGCATCATATGTTCACATTATGGGCCTGAAACCCCTTCCTATTGGTCTACCGAGGCCCCATGTGCTCCTAGTAGCAAGCACATGGTCCCCAGGCTGTATGTCCCCTGAGCACAGGGGAGAGGGGCTAAGGCCAGCCTTTCGGCCATTTGGTGGTTCCATGCATTGTTTCTCTGAAAAATGCCTGGTCATGTCCATCAGGTAGGGGTCTGAAATCCCCACCCATTGGTCCACGGAGCTCCCACATGTTCCTAGGAGAGACCACATGGCCCCCAGGCCACACTTCCTCTGTGCAGTGGATGTCCAGTTTGTCTTGGGGGAGGGATTAAGGTGGGACTTCTGGCAGAGGGAGTGGTTTTCAGCCAGGGAGGGCCTTCCGAAGGTGGACTTCCAGTTCAGGTGGGACTTCTGTGAGAGGGGGCAGGACTTCCTGTTAATACAGGACTTCAGTGGGTGGGACAGCTGTCAAAAAGAGTTTGACATGAGGTGCCATCTATAACTACTTACCTGTTTAAGAGGAATCATTCTTTCATCCTAGTTCTCCAGATGGAGTAACAGAGCACATGGCATCGGATATCCGCACTCATACCTAAAGCTTCCAGCAAGGCACTACCTTTCTGTACTAAAATTGATAAGCTACTCATAAGAAAACCAATGTCATCTTAACCACCAACTATGTGTTAACAATAGTAACTCCCTAAGCATAAGGCTTATCTCTTTTTAAAAAACTAAAGAGACTCTGACTATTCAGTCTAATTCATTTAGGAACAGTTTCAGTGTACAAGAACTATAAAAACTGTACAAAAACTCAGTGGTTTTGAAATGGAATTTTTTAAGTGAGAAAATTTTTGTTAGGCATTTTTTTAATTTGAAAAATGTTAAGGTTCCTCTGCCCTACCCAACCCTTCATTTCTATTTGTAACATTCAGTTCTTGTCTGAGACACCTATCCAAGAGAGTGATTAGGTCCATACTAATTTAGCAACCTTGAAATCTTCCTGGTTCTTAATTGTGCTTCATTACTAGAATTTGCTTTTCATTTTGACAAGTATAGCATAGATCCTTTTCACACCATATTCAGGGACAAAAGGGTTTAAATATATTAATTTTTGTTACAAAAGAAACATAATGAGAACTGGCAAATATGAGAATTTATTTTGATTGGCATCCTGCCACCTTAATGAGAATTGTAAGATTAATTATGTTTGGCAGTATGTGAGATAGCTGCATTTTTGGTCAGAGCTTCAGCTTGTTAACAGGCAACAGTTTTAAAGATAAAGCTAGTAACCCGAGAGCTGACTAAAAGGTTTATGTCAACATTAAAAGAGAAGTTGTAAAGACGTATAGTTAATCTATATAAAGACAGCACATCTGATTTTATATTTGTCATTTAAGGAATGATTTATTGAGTTCTGAAGTTGCCTTTTGCTTCTCCTCTCAGTTTTGCAGATAGTGGGTTCCCAGGTATTGAATATACAATTTTGTTCATGTTCTTCAGTAAGATTTATACTTTTGCTTTACCCTCTTTTTCCACCAATGCTGTATGAAAAAGTTTTCCTATTCAGTGTAAGGAATGATTTTGACAGTTTTAGAATAGAGAGTAAAACCTCACTGTTTATTTTAACTTGTAACAGAAAAATGAGATTCTATACTCATTCTCATGTCATTTATTTTTCTTAGATATCAGAAGAGCATCCTTAAACATTTCTATATAGACCACAAAAGATTTGCAGAAATATTAGGACATGTTCATGATGTGACATTTAAGTGAGGTGAATGGAGCACTTGTCTTAATACTTATTTGTAATCATGATAGTCGTTTCTCTAAGAATAAAATGGATATAAGAAGATCTCATGTGGTTTGACCTGGCATAGGGAGAAGCTTATTTTAGAATATATAGAAACGCACAGAACCACCAAAAGGCCAAAAGGCCTGCCTTAACCCCTTTCCCCTGTTCTTGGGGGACGTGCAGCCAGGGGACCATGTGCTTACTACTAGGAGCATATGAGGCGTCGGTGGACCAATCGGAAGGGTTTCAGGCCCATAATGTGAGCATGTGATGCCTGGGGTCCCAATAGGGCGGGAATATACAGCTACTACATTTATCAAGAATTGGCATTATTGGAGATGGTTTAATACTTTTCACCCATTTGTTTACCAATTCCTAATCTTCAAAAGCTGATAATATTTCCACAGAGGTGCTGTATCTGCCTCCCCACAGCACAGGAGTAATAGTTGCTCCAGAGAATATTTTAGATCTCCAGTCAATGGCATGGAAGGAATGAGTTAAGCACTCTGCCTTCTACTTGTTATTTTATCAAATTGGCAGCCAGGTGTGGATACTGTGTAATAAAATTTAAAAAATAGTAACATTCAATGAGGGCCAAATAGCCACACAATCATTCACTTGCAACCTACACCCATCAAATTTAACATCGTTCACACCAGTTTGTACAATTCCCGATTCTCCAACACAGATATTCCATAATCCAGAATGTTTGTTAATCCAAAATTTCTTTAATCCCTAATCCAAAAACAGCATTAAATTAAGATTTGAATTCTTAAATACTCGTGAACATATGATTGTACGCACTAAAAAATGGTAAAGTTAACAAAATTATTTGCCTTTTCCATGAATTGTAATGCAAAAAGAGCTCAGCCAACACATTTCCATGAACTGCAAATTGTATGTGAAAGAGTTGGATGTGGCTTGTGAGCAGTGTTTTGGCCACCCGTGTTTTGTATGCATCCTGCAGTCATACACATTTAACACAGTCCTCTTATCTGTGAAATAACTGAATTGTTGATAGATTCACCCAGAGATACAGGGTGTCAAAATGTATTAATTCAGTTTGTCACCACTTTGACTACCATGGCTCAATGATTCCTGAAATTTTGCTAGTTCATAATTATTTTTAAAAAAAATCAAATTCAAATTGGAAATCCAAGGAGTCATGAAAGATTGCTAAATAATAAACCTTTAATCTAAATGAGACCTTAGTTCATTTTCTGGACTACTTCATTGCCATAATTTTCTTTATTTCAAAAAATTCTATGTATTTTCCCCCAACAGAATCAACGAATCCCATCTGACATGGTGTTTTTAAGAACTTCAGAAAAAACAGGTATGTTGTTATTTTCTAGTCTTGCTATATGCATTCTTTTATTAATCAAATGATGTATTAGATATACTCAAATCAAAAGTTTCTGTTATTGCTATTTTAGCTTGGATTCATCTTCTTTGTTCTGCTTGCTTTTGTGCCCCCTCCCCCAAGTTTATTTTAAATTGAGTTAAGCTTAAGTTTTAAAAAAAAGGATGTACAGCATTTTAATCAAGTTCAGAATATTCCACTCTTGCATACAGTTTTATGTTTCTACATGTGGAGAAACTGTTCTTTTTTATAAACTCTTTTGTAGGCTAATTTCACCCCAAGGTATTCTCCTGATATTTCTGCTATGTGCAACCTTTCTCACTGGCAACCTACACACTTTGGCTACTTATGGTGGGATGGGAATGCTATACTTACCCTGTGCTGCTGCCATCTTTCTGTGGGACCTATGTATAAGAAGGGGAAGAATTAGACCATCTACTGTCCCCTTCTTTCTCCTTGAGCAGTCCTACTTCCACATCTTTTCTGTTGCTCTGGCCTGATGTAATGCCTGCTGGATAATCTTTGGGACAGGGACAAAGCCTGATAAATTGGGCTTCTCAGTAGAGTTAATAATGTCGACAGTCACGATTGCAATCAGCTGGGGATGTGCTACTTTGGACTCATTTGACAAATATTTGCATGAAAGTGCTCATAAATCTTCAATTACTGGTAAAGAATTTGTTTTTATCATAAGGAAAGATCATTTGTTGCTCAGGAGTTTTGTAGCACTGTATGGATACTTCAGTAGGATACAGATTTCGTCATACATGAAATAGATCCCCTGAAATTATTGGAACATAAATTAGTAGCTACTAATGCTTCTTATTAATTTCAGGGTATGTATTCTAAGCCTTACTCAATCTGGATCCAATTTTATTTGTGTGTGCATGTGCACACAAATATATACTGGTGACGTTATTTGTATTGCTAATTTTATCTGCATCATCTGAGTTAACTAGTATTCTATATTTATATTTGCAGTAATAGGAATTTTTTCAGATCTTTTTAGTTCTAAAACAAGCAAACGGAATCTAAGCGAATATAAAAGATAAGACATTCTATATGTTGTTGACAATTCTGTTTGTTTGGTACATCTGCAAATTATAATTAATTACAGATTACTGTTGGGTGTTCTTTTATGGAAAGATGTCTGGCACTGTAAACTTCTGAAATTACACAGAAAATGTGGCATCACTTTGAAATTCAGCTGTTCAACTCAAGTGTCACCTTCTATCTGCCTCTGAGCAGACTGCTACAGAATAATAAGGCTGTAATAGTTGTAGCACGTGTTCTGGAAATTTCTATTATGTTTAGAAGCCATACATTCTAAAACCTAGCTGTCTTGAAACAAAAAAAAGTTTGGGAAATGTATTGCTACAGAGAATGACAAATGACTAGAGTGAAGTTTTGCACATACGGCCAAATAAACTTTTATCTGCAGGGCATGAGTGACTGCCAACAATCTGTCCAAACTACTTTAATCTGTTCTTGTATCTCAGTTCCTATTCCAGTTTTAACATTTGATTTAACTCAGGCTAGCAATGTTTTGACACCTATCTCAAGCCACTGAATAATATTGCTTTTATGAGTTTCACCTATTGTGTTATACATGAACTCTGTTGGAATAATAAAATGAAGCCTAAGTATACTACTAATAGTATACTTAATATGCTAATATGCAGGTGCAGTGTAGTAACCAAGAAACTGAACTGCTGAACCGAAGAATTTGGTTCAAATTTTACCTCCCCTATGAATAAATGCACAATATGTGAATAGGCAGATCCCATTGTCTCTACCTCATCCATCTAGCTGCTTTGTGAATATGGTATCAACCCATGTTTTGGGATTATTTTGAAAGATACTACAACTTGAGATGTTTGGGTGCTTTTCTTTTCCTTTCAGTAACAGTTCATGAGATGTTGCATTTAAAGGTCCTTGAACTTTTTGGGTTTTTGTTTTGTTTTGTTTTTGAGAATGGAAGGATTTGCCACCATAAAGAAGCAAGTGGATTCTATTATGGAACTCCATGTCCTGCACTTATAATCCATCCAGTATGTTTTCAAAGAGTAAAGCATTATATGAAATATGTTGTTGTTATTTTTGGGTGCCTTCAAGTAATTTCTAACTTATGGCTACCCAAAGGCAAATATACAATGGGACTTTCTTGGCAGATTTGTTCAGAGGGGGTCTAAGGATGACAGGGCATGACCTGCCCAAACTCCAATTGAGTTTCCATGACCGAACTGGGATTCAAATTCTAGCCTCCCAGTGTTCTAGTCCAGCACTCAAACCACTGGACTATGCTAACTCTCTTGTTCAGTATTAGTACACAGCAAAAATAACTGTAATAATTATATTTGGAGAATAGAGGAAGAGCTTCTGTTCTCCTTGACCCTATTTTTCTAGTGTGTTACTGCAGGAAGCAATCCGGTGGCCATTTTCTCTCCGCAAGTGTCACTCTTGAAAGGATTATGCAATCATTATACATTATTTTGAAACACACTGTGTTGTTGTTATTGTTATATTTAATTAGATGTTGTCCTTTTCCCAGCCTGGAACTAAAGGTGCTTACAGTTGATTATACAAAAGATAAAACTGTGATTAAACTATTTAAAGAATGACATAAAACATAGTTATTAAAAAGTAAACAATACACAGCACATTAAACAAGCTCTGTTCCCTTGAGCAACAAGACTTCATGTGCCCATAGAAGCTACTAAGCTACTCCCTTTAGGAAGGAAATTTCAGAGCCTAGGGGCAGCTACCAATAAGGTTATCCCCAATGTTCCTGCCTGGATGTCACTTTGAAGGTAAAAAGGGCATTATAGGTAATGACCACCACATTGAATTGTGACCAGAAACTGATTAGCAAATGTTGTAACAAGGGAGTTGTGTGGCCCCTCTGGCCATTATACCATTGTTTTATGAATATTGGGGGCATTTCTCACCCACTCATACTCCTGGAGTAATGTTATGATTTTCTTATTTTTTCAATCTTCTCTCCCAGCAATCAATGTTTAAAATGTTATCAAATGGGATGTATGAAAGTGAGGAGACAATTTTAGTTTAGCAGCTGCACATCAAACATTGTCCTTTGAATCTTTAATCTATGTCTGGCCATTCAACTCTGTGCTGTAAGTGCTGAAGGGAACGTACTACACACCCCTTTCCCTCCAGATTACTCCTGTCCTGTGCTTTTAATAGTCTATCCAAACTCAATTTTGAGATCAGGGACTAGATTCCTGGATCAGAATGTATTACACTTCACTTAGTCACTTAGATGATCCATTCCTCAGCTTTCACATGGATCAGAACATCTTCTCTAATCGTCTCTATTTGTATCTATTTTGAGCAAAGTTGTACGGCCATGTTTGTCTCTCACATTATACTCCATATGGAATGAATCAGACCATTGGGTGGGAAGACAACCAAGAGTTTTTGTCTATCTCCGTGGATACCATGTTACTGTGCTACTTCTTCAGCGCCCATTTGTTCTGCACGTCACGTGACCAGCAAAGCAATGTTTGAGTTGGGCAACAAGTCATAGAGGATCTTTCACTTTTGAATTTTTTTGAACATCCTTGTGCAGTTCGCGTTCTCTCTGTGTTCGGAGAGACATCCCAAAGAGCCATCTCTCAAGGGAAGCATGCACAATCCATAGTTGTTCTGAGATAGCCTTCATCATTGTCCATGTCTCTGCACCATAGCATAGGGCAGGTAGCATAGTAAATTCGGAACAATAAAGCTTATAGAGATGAACTTCCGGTTGCGTCTATAGCAGCTTTAATGGAATTGTAAGCGGCCCATCCTGCTTTCCTGCGTCTGTTCAAGTATGACTTCATTTCATTCCTTCATATTAACAGCTTTCTGAGATAGACATATACTTGTACATTTTTGAGCTCAATGCCATCTATCACTGCAGCACCATCTGTGAAGTTGTTTCGGAGTATCTTCAATCTTTAATCCGATTGACTGACTTCTGCTACAAAGCTCACTAAGCATGCTGGAGGCTTCTGAGGCTGTACACATGATTAAAACTACGTTGTTGGTGAAGCACCCATGATTAAGCCTGTACCCATCGGTGACTATACTTTGTCCAACCAATTACAGCCTCCTATTACACTTCCCAGAGAAGCAGAAAAAAAGGTTAGGTGAAATGGGATCACCCACAGGCAGGCATGTAGCCAGGGGGGGGGGGCTCGGGGGGCTTCAGCCCCCCCGAAATTCTCATGGTGGTTCGCGAAAAGGCCTTACTGGTGCATTATTTAAACTGTTATGTTTATTCATATCATGATCTGATCACCATACTCAATATATCCCATATGCATGGGGATATTCGGGTAATGATACAAAAGGTTTGCTAGGCTAGACCCTCTTTCACTCAGACTCAGCCCCCCCCCCCGAAACTCAGCCCCCCCGAAACCCCATCCTGGCTACGGGCCTGCCCACAGGTATAACAACTTCTCGTTTGAAAGGCATTACTGTTGTTGTACATCTATCATAGCATGCTTGGATGATGTTGATGTACTCTGCCTGTACTCCTGGCTCCCTCAGACTGTTCTGTATGCACTCTGGTTCCATGCTGTCAAATGTCTTCTCATAGTCAACAAAAGTGAGAACGAGTGGCATCTGGTATTCGTGGGCTGCTTCCAATATTCTATTAACAGTCAGGATGTGATCGATGGTGGAGAATGAAAGATGGAATCCAGCTTGTTCAACTGCCTGTGCCTCCTCCAATCTTCTCCTGATGTGGGCTAGAATACACCTGGTGATAACCAGCAGGAGAGTTATTGGGCGGTAATTCCTCAGATGTTATTTGTCTCCTTTCTTAAATAGGAGGACTGTTTTTAGGTGTTTCAAGTCTTTGGTTCATGGCTGTCTGCTAGATAACAAGAGAGGTGTGTGTTCTTTATAAAGAGAAGGTCTGCATGCTTTAAAAAGTTTTGTGGTGATACCATCTTGACTTGGAGCCT